AAGGTGTGTGGAGTTTAGTGAATGGAGTGAAGGAAACGAAACACAACTCCAGGTCTGTTTGTGAAGAGGAAACACAGATGAGAAAATAGTGTCATCTCTTTTTTACAGATTTAGGGTACATATAAAATAAAAAAAATACAAGAACGACATCCCTCTCCATCATGTTAAGTGAGTTGCCTGTAATATTATGCTGGTAAACTGAGCTATGGATGGAAACAAGCAGGTGACACCTTCAGGTCAGATTACACGTCACGTCTGTGGAGGGCTGACGGACACATGGTTTAAGGTATTTTTTTTTTCTGTCAATAGCTGAGCAGCAGTAACATGATAGATAGAGGCCAACCAACCAACTTGTTAAAGCCTGATCCCGTCTGGTCAGGACTTGTACAGGAGACCACTGGGAAAATCAGGTGCCACAGGGGGGCGCCGGTCACAATAACTGTCATTGTGTCCTTAGGCAAGACACTTCACCCACATTGCCTAGTAGGAAAGTGGCGTGTGTGTGAGTGATGGTGGTCGGAGGGACCAATAGAGCAGATTGGCAGCCTCGCTTCCATCAGTATGTACCAGGGCAGCTGTGGCGACAATAGAAGGTTAAAACCACCGGGTGTGGAGTGACTGAATAATGCTCGGTAAAGCGTCTTTGTGACATACATCTGTGAAAACCGCAATATAAAAAAAAAAACAACAAAAAACTTACACACTAGATACATTTAATGCCATACTGTGGAACATTCCAGGCAAATGAACAACATATGTGGAGACACTATAAGGGGCAAGCACCAGAAAGGTTAGTAGTAATATTTACATAAATTGTGGGTTGATTTTGTAAATTAAAATGAAAATTTTATTTTACAGCAAAAACTATTTATAAAAAGCTGATTTCCCAGCTATTAAATGAAATGCATGATTTGAATAATAAAACATTTATGTCCAATATTGATATTTGTGTTGAGTTATGCTGGGGGTGTTCTACATGGAAGAACTGCAAACTCATCTTTGCACAGGCTTCCAGGTCATTTTAGTGTTGAGTTTAAGATTTTATTGTTTGTTTTTCAAGCTTTGAATGGACTGGTCCCACAGCACATCTCGCACCTCATCCAGATGTACACCCTTACACACTCTGAGGAACGAAAGCAAGACAAGACTTAAAACCAGGGGGAACAGGGCCCCAAGTTCTGGAACGTTCTGCCCCCCCACGTCTGAACAGCCTCCATAACTCTCATCTTAAGACCCACTTTTACTCTCTGGCTTTTAACACCACCTGAGTTCTGTGCTCCTCTGTGTATTATTTATCTTATTTATTTCACTTATTTACTGCTATTTTATGATTTTTAAGGTTTTGCTTTTATTTGCTTTTACTGGTTTTATTGTTTTTTGTAAAAATTTTGATGTTCTGTGATCTCTGTGCAGCACTTTGAAAATGGCTTTGTTTGTAAGAATAGAAATAATGTATAGATGTAATGTATAGAAATAAAGTGGATGTGGATTTAAAACTGTTTAAAATGAACTAGTTCTGTTTTCAAAGCCATACTGTGGAACTTGTATCACCATAGAGATAAAAGCTGACCAAAAGTTACACAGTGCACTTTACACACAGTCAGCTCCTGTCATACTGTGCCATTGTTTCCCACACAGTGCCCCCTGGCTGCAGGCCGGGTTGGGTGAGTGCAGTTTGGCTCTGGCGTGGACCGGAGCGGCAGGATTTGCTTACCAACACTTCCCAGAAACCAGCCGCGGAGAATTACACAGAACCACAACTAGGCCACAGTACTTTCACTTTCAGAGAGCTGCTACTGCGCGGGCTGCTGTCCAGCTGCTGTCCAGGCTATTCCAAGCTATTCTAGGCTATTTTCGGCTATTCCAAGACTTAACTATTGTGTCCATAGAGAGTTTGTCCTCTGGGTTTGACCTGCTCCTTCACTGTAACTGTGAGCGAGAGGAATGTGCTTAGCTGGGTTAAAAAGGGACTGAATAATGATTTTATTTATTCATATTATTAATATAAAACTAACTATTAAAGATACTGTATGTTCATGTTGTATATTTGATTTTAAATTTCATAAACCTTGACCTATTTTTGTCCCCAGATACAAGGACAATGTTCAAATCAAATCAAACTTTTACTGATAATTGTAATACTCTAGCCAGTCTGGCGCCACCTAGTGCGTCCACTCAGTTTCATTTCTCTCCAGCGACTAGATCAGGAATCAGAATACACTAGACAATTTGCAAAAACCCTGGAAGTGCAAGTTCGGGCACCAGCCAATCAGTGAAGAGTCATACATTGTGTTGTCAACGATTCCTGAGATCGAGGGTTTAAAGCCGAAACAAAGAGAATGTTTGGTGAATTTTATCAAGGGGAAAGACGTTATTGCCCTTTTTCCTACAGGATTTGGGAAAAGCTTAATAAACCAGTTAACCCCATTAAAGGTGCATTACATATGTCAGAAACAAATAGCTGTGATTGGTTAAATGATAAAAAAGTACCCACCTACCGTCAAGTGAATGATTTCTAACACTGAGGTCGGGCTGATGAATCAGGCTAGAAATACTCAGCCATGATGGTCAGCTTGTTTTTTATAATCTGTTGTTTTGGTTCTCAAGACGATTATTCAGTGACTCTCATTTGTGTTGCCAGTTTCAAGACTGAAATCCAGTTGGTTTAAACCTAAAATGTCTCTGATCTGAATGGTCTCTACCTAAAGCCCAGCACCTACAACCAGTCATGAACCAGTGCAAGTTTCTGCAGCTCAGGGAGCGAATTCTGGAGGTTCTGAGTTTTCACATGAGGCCTGAACATAAACTGAAAATGAGACAAATGCAGGATGTGTTTCTACCTGCAGGTGAAGACACAGGACACAGGCTCAGTTGTGACTGTAGTTCCTTTTTTAAACTGCAGGAGCACAGGAAACATACAGCTCCTTTACGAAAACTATTGATCCAAAACAACAATTAACCAGCTTTTCAGTGTGCATTCTTTCAAATGAGTTTGGGTGGGCGTGATGGTAAAAAAATAAATATTGATTAATTGAAGATTGACTTATTGACTTTTTTGCACACTTTAGATGATTAAGATTTTAATCAAAGTCAGGGCAGGGCCTGCTCCTGTCGCCAACAGGGAAAGCTCTTTACATTTCCATTCTTATTATGTCCTATTATTTAAGAAAATTAAAACTGCCTTCACAATCTAATATTTATAGTTTCAATTAGAATGAGATTTTATTTACAAGGTCAATTGTTTCATTTCACAATAACACTTCATAATTCTGCTTTGCAACTAAGAAAGAGTTTAACTAAAGAAAGTCATGATTTTGCAATTTTTAAAAATCTTGATTATTAAAAACATAAATTAAATTAATGAAATTCATTAGATGAATTACCAAGCCCCAGATACTTGTATAAAGCATGTATCAGGTGTGGGTGATGATCTGATTTCTCTTGTGCTGTGACGCACTAAAACCTGATGTCACGATGACCTGATTCCTCTGGTGATCTGACTCATGTGTAAAAGTGCCCTGTGTCTCTGGGCGTGCAGGTGGGCATGTGCAGGTGCTGTGAGTGCAGTACAAACACACCGAGGAGAGGGCAGTGTGTGTGTGTGTGTGTGTGTCTCTGAGTTAACACCAAACACCCAATAACAGCTTCGCAAACACTGTCCCCGACTGAGACCCACTTTAGACCAATCTGCTCATCCTCCAGGACACGTACCCACACAACACAACGCACACAAACACATGAAAAAGCACGAGGAAATGCTGGTTAAAGGCCCATATTTGGCTACTGTGTTTCCTTGTCACAAATATATCTGGAATGTTTTATTTCATTCACACATATTAAACACACACATCCTGCATATAAGGGCCCGGTCAAGTAAACAACAAGGCCAAAAATTCAAGTTAATGCATCTGATATAAAAATGTATTGAACAGATACATATGTACTCTAGTTTATGAAACTGTTGACCTTTTTTCTGTACCATTTTTGGTTCTAAAGTTCCATATGTTTTAAACAGACCATGTATGAAACATGGAACAAAATTTTTTTCAAAGATCTGCAAATCATGTAAATAAATGGATGTATTTCATCATATCTTGTGTTATTCCATCTTTGAACTGTTGATGAAGGTACATGATAAAACATTTTAAAAAAAAGTATTTAAAATGATAAAAATTTGCTTGTAAGGACTGACATATTTTATAGAAATAGTTTCCTTTCATTTTGAAGTAATATTAAAGTATTCAGAAGAAAAAAGTTGACAAAGTATGTAAAATCCTGCACCTTCTACTTGTTTGCACAATTTTCCCTCCGTTACTTTTCCCTCCGTTACCATGACCTTTCTTAATAAAACATCTCATTATTCAAAAAGTAAGAGGTTTTTCAACCTAATCTTGTACCATATGGTAGAGAACTATATGAAGCAAATATTCAAACCAGTTTGTTAAGGATATGGAAGTGAGAACCAAGAGTTATCACTGTTTGGATTTATTGCCCAAGAAGTGCTGCATATTTCATTCCCTCCGTTACCAACATGAGTTTTTACATTTTTTGTCAACAACTTGAAAGAATATCACAGGTTTAACTTGACCCTGTTGGAGTGTAACTCTTTCCTACATTCTGATACTTTACTTATTTCAATAGTCCCTCTAGTTTCTGAATAAGAGACATTTGAATGGAAAAAATCTGCCCGTTTCCCTCCGTTACCACTTGAACGGACCATATTTGGGCTGAAAACACCATTGTGTACAGTTTTGTATCATGTTTTTGTATATTTATTGAGAATTGTTGTGTGTGAGCACACAGCGTGCAGCTAACCGTAAAGAGGGTTTGAATAGGGTCTGGGAGAGATCACTAAATGACTCTGCATGGATGACATCGACAGCCTCGTCTTGGTTTGTTTTTGATGAGGAAGCAATGTAATAACATGAGAGAAAGCTAAAACAAACATGTGAAGGTAAAGATCGGTGTGTGTGTGTGTGTGTGTGTGTGTGTGTTTGTACCATGAGGGCGTCGGACGCACACACGCTGTGGAAGCCGTGGTAGAAGGCCGCAAACTGTTTGTACATGCACTTGTTGAGGAGGAAGTCCACGTAGAGCTGCACGTACTCTGCACAGAAACACAGAGGAGCTTAAAATAGAAACAGACAAAGTAATTAGAAGTTTTAGAGAGTTTCTGCCTGATTTAAGATTCCTCAAATCTGTTCTTACCACTCAGGTTTGGACACACTTTCACATTCAAAGTGTTTTCTTGTTAACCACTTTCTACATTGTAAATACAGACTGAAGACACCAAAGATATTAAGAAAGAAGTATGAAATGATGTTTCTACAAGTGGAGCTTAACACTGAATTCACTTTTTTCACTACAAAACTATGTATACAGTAAGGTCAAATAACGTAACACCCTAAAAATGTAAGGCAGGGTGCACTTTAGTGTCTCTGGAGAAACATTTGTCCTCTGCATTTGACCCATCCTTTAATGCACTGGAGCATCTCCTCCTGCAGCGACCAGGGACTCATCTCCAGGTCTCGGGCTGGTCTTGGTCAGGACTACCTGCCAGGACTGAATTTGATGGGGAAATCCACCCAGACACAGGGAGAACACGCAAACTCCACAGGAAGGCCCAGGTATTGAACCCGAAACCTTTTTTTGTTTTGTTTTATGTGTTTATTCATAGTTTTGACTTCTTAAATAATTAATAAATAAATAATAAATCATTAAATGAAAAACAAAAGTATACAGATAAAATAATAACTGTAAAACATGATACAGAAAAAAAAAAAAAGAAAGACAATGGGTTAAAATGATATTAAGTATGCATAGTATGTCATTTATATTTAAGTATTTGTAAAGTTCTGTGATTAATATACATAAGCGACCACTTTATTTTTGAAACTATGTCATGAACAGGGCTGAGTTTATATAAGTTTTTCTTCTTCTCGCTCCTTTTCGAGAAATGTGCTTTTCTGTTGTTTACAATGTACATGTAGTATTAAGGCCGAATTATGGTTCTGCATCGATTTAAAGCACACTGCCGCCGTCGCCTTGTCGATTTTGATTTATAGATCTGCGTGAGGTCGATACCCCACAAACTAATTCACCACCACAATGCCAAGAGGAGTTCGTGTAAACAAAATGAAAGCGGAGTCTGTAGAGCAGATGTTGAGATGACCAACCACAGCTCTTATTGTCTGTGTCGCTTCAACGTGTAGTTATAAAACTTGAGGTGAAGACTCTGTATCGTGACGCAGACAATTTGACGCACGAGAATAAATTGGGCTAGTGTGTGTATGATTATTGTTTCTCTTTTGGCACAAACTCGAAATAAAAACTAATTAATCAACCAGTCTTCAGGGTGAATCAACAATGTGAAGTCATGAAAATAAAAAAAATAAAAAACTGTGAATGTAAAAAATGCGTCCACATCTATGACTGGTAGTGTACATAAACCAGCTCCAGTCAAATGAAGCTCATCAACACTTACAGTTATGAAACGAATGTGGAGTTGAGTTCCATATTAGGACTCAGAATTTATTTACAGACAAAATTGCGAAATAAAAACACCTGGATCATGCAGAGTGGGTTAATACGAATATTTAAGGCCAAAATTAGGAGACTGCAGTTACAGAGAGAGGAGGTACGATTATAACCAGTTGTCAGTTTGTGTTTTGTAATGACTCTTTTGCATTAAGACCAAGTGTAAGCTCCACGTCTGATCTGTACAAATCAAGTATAACCGTGAGAGCGCCCGGGCTGGCTCACCTCTGCGGTTGTGTTTGGTCACGGGGATCTTGTCTCCTCCAGGCTTCAGGTTAAACGCTTTGACCACGCCCATCTCCTCCTGGAACACCTGCACCACAACACACAATATACATGTCACAAAACCATACATTTATACAATACACATCTCTGGAGAGCTATTCATTTCACCAAGACACAGTTAAGACAAAAAATACAACAAAAAAATCCCCAGTTTGACAAATTTTTACATTTAAAATTTGACTTCTTTGTTGGAAATCATGGAAATCACGCTAAGTCCAAAACACCTTAATGTACACAGAAATGATTTGGCAGTTAAAAGTATAACACCTTTATTCTGTTGAAACAATGTCTAAAATATCTTTAATTTTTGTTTTGTTTTGCGAAGGGTGACCAAAAGTCCCTATTTACCCGGGACAGTCCCAGTTTTGAGCCTGTGTCCCCTGTCCCAGCAAATGTCTCGAAAACCAGTGATTTCTCCCAGTTTTATACAAGAAATGTCCCAGCTGTTCCTACTTTTGACCAATTTGTTACCCACCAGCAGTAAAAGAACCAATATTTTGTCCTTTTTTTTTGCTAAAATACAGAAAACCATTCTAGGATTCAACAACAGAAGTCCCTCAGATTAAATACTGGCACATGTGAGTTGAGAAAGGACAATGTTTGGCACTATTTTCACAATATTATTATTACCAAATCATCCAAACATGGGTGTGTCCCAGTTTTTAATTTTGAATATCTGGTCACACTAGTTTTGCATGTAACTTGTGCCCAACGTTTAGATACGATTCTGCCAGTGTGATGCCATGAATATGGAACTTTCTAAAATCAAACTCTCTACTTCCTGTAAGTTTCAACCAATTTTTCAGTAAATTGTGTCTTGATTGGTGTAAAACGATCATTTATATTTAACATTATATTATCCCACCAAATGAAGTTAAAATTGGAATGATCAAAACTTGTCATACACACTTTAATTGTTTGTTTTTGTTGTGTTCTTAAAGGGCCACTTAACACCAAAATCACTTTTTTCTACTGATTATCTGTGTATGGGTTTAAAATAGTGTACAAGTGCATACCTATATTTGTTAAAAATGGGACTGTCCGTGTCTGTATTGGCCTTTTGACATTTGACATTTCGGGTTGGACTAATAACCGCCAATGAATCTGATGCGGGTTATTACGTGACGAGTGCAGACACTGGGGTCTACGGGCGCTACAGGAGGAGCCCACGCCCCAACCTGGCAGCGCCCGGCACCGCGATGTTCTGTCGTGTCTGGAGAAAAAGAAAACGGCGTGATCCAAGAACAAATGTCCGCTCTGTTTCAACGTCCGGAGCGCGGATTGTTGTGGCTGTCGGTCGGCTGTCAATCACTGCTCCAGAGCCCGCCCCACACCCGCTCCCCCCAACCCACCGTGCACCGTCAACTCTGAAGGATTTTTCAGATTTTGCTTAGGGGTGGAGTAAAGCTTCGGGATCGGGTTTAATGGATCTTTAAGACGCATATTGTAAATGTCTAATTTTAATGTCTGTTTATTTGTACGATCCATACACTGGCGTTTGGATCATTACCATCATTAACATCGCTGAGTCAACGTTGAGAGATTAAAAACGCACAGACTAATGAACATGTACTTAAATCAATAACTATAAACTTTATTAAAACGGCTTTCATCTACATTAGGTGGACTTTATTGTGGATGTGGACTATAAAAGCCTCGGTGCTGTTTGCTGGGAGATGTAAACAGAGCAGATATAGCCTGTGCACATAGGAGGGGTCAGCGGGTGCATGTGGGAGCAGGCCTGGGTCTATAGCGCTCTCACCCTGGGGTCAAATAACACACGTACACATGGACAGACTGTCTCTTCTGTACTCTACTGCATCAGGCCGTTAGCACTTCTACTGGAGCTGCAAGAAATGGACCCGTGCCACACATGGTACAAAATAATCTTAAAATAAAAACGCTAATCGTACAGTAAAACATATTTCATATCAAGTAGTAGTTTTGCTCCAATACTATTTTTTTGAGATCTGATCCAGTACGATACTTGACCTTAGTGAACTTACCGATACTGATACTAGTCCGATACAACATAGTGCGACGAAGTAGACTAATACTCAATTTTGTTAGAGTACAGGAGCAATAAATAAATCTACTAAAAGGCAATCTCTAAAGAAAACCTCAAAGAATACATTATACTTGAGAACTAAGTGTAAAATATCTAATATATAATGATTCTGACCATAAGTAGAGCTGATTTAAGCACCTTTACTGTTCTAATTCGTTGCTTTCTACAGCGCGTGAATAAAACCAACAGTGAGGCCTGGAAAAAGAAGCTCATCCTCGGAGCTCATGGGTAATTATGCAGAGGAAACAAAGTCCGAGTCAGCGCTATTGCCATTTTTGTCAGACTACAGTCTTCGTAGCACAGTTTTTCTGCTAAGTTGAGTTTCCACACTAAAGTCTAAACGAAAGTATTAAAGAGGAAACACAAATGTCTTTCTGTTCTGTCATTATCAGTGTCTGCAGAGTCTCCATAATCAACGTTTAACCTGCTCTGGGCACATCTACAGGTCGTTATTTTTGGAAAACACACAGTAGTATCGGATCAGTGATTTGGTCTGAGTGCTCGCTGATACCTGAAAAATTTGCAGTATCAGAGCTTATCAGAAAACAACAATATTAAGTAGTATACAAAGCAAATGTATTTGTATAACACAATTTGTAGACAGTCATTCAAAGTGCTTTACAGAATAAGAAAGACACACCTTCTCATTCTGTTTTTTTCTTTATGTTTACTGCTTTTTACATTTTATATCCACCCAGAAGACTTCAAAGATATGAAGCAAGATGTATAGAATTATGTAGTAAAAAAAAAAAATCTGCTCTTAGTTTTGAAACGGCCTTTGCTTTGTCGACAGGGCTTCAAACCTTTGGCCTTCTCCCTGTGAGCTTCATGATGAAATCTCACGAAATGGTTTTCACTTCACAGCTGTGCCACGTCAAAAGTACAAACCAGGGTCACAGCAAAGAGTAAAAGCCATTTTTAAAAATCAAGTTTTGACTAACTCTGTGATTATTTTACTTATATTTCTTATCTGTCCTTCCACAGTATTAACGAGAATTACAATGTAAAAATCATGCAAACATCAATGAAAAAGTGTGCCCGAGCTTTTGACTGGTAGTGTAAGTACATTTTTAAAAATAAGTTTGCCAGTGGAAACAATGAACCTCATTTTTCCCATTTATTTATGTGAGCAAGATTCCAAACACCTCTTAAGGTCAAAATATGTCTGCTGTGTACTGTCTGCTTCTAATTAGTATTGTCGAAGTACTCGAGAGCGGTCTTAGTCTCGTCTCGGACTCTAGTGTTCTTGGACTCAGTCTTGTCTCAGTCTTGAAGGCATTTGGAATCGGTCTTGTCTCGGACTCGAGGATTGAACCTCGACGAGTGTGAGTGGAAAAGGGACTAATGAAAACTGTGGGTGAGGGTTCAGAAAAGAGGTTTAAGTGCAGCACAGTTTGTTTGGTTTATTTGAAGCTTAAATGAACATTAATAACATACAATGGAGATAGATTTATAAAAAACATGAATATATATGTGCTAAAATAACCGTAAAATACAAATAAATGTTGAAAAGATGGTCTCGATTTGGTCTCAATGGGCCGTGGTCTCTAAAAGTCTCGATCTTGTCTCGGTCTCGACCTTTAAAGTCTTGGTGTTGTCCTGGTCTTGGTCTCGATTACTGTGGTCTTGAATACAACACTACTGATTAGAAAGGGTTTTACTGTCCGATAATCAGGAAGTGTATGGTTAGCATGCTAGTTACCATAATTCAAAATAAAAAACTGGAAGATCCCTGGTTTGTGGTGGTTGGTAATAATAAAATTGTGAAACGAGTGTGTAATTATGGAGAATTTTTCTGCACTTGGCACTAATGTGAGTCAGTATAGTCACATTTTCATTCATTTTTAAGCAGCTTTTCTGTATTTTACCTTAAAAAATGATGGATCAGATTGGTCAAAAATAGGGACACCTGTGACGTTTTTTGTGCAAAACTGGAACAAATCAGTGGTTTTGGATCAATCTGCTGGGACAGGGGACACAGGGCTCCAAACTGGGACTGTCCCAGGTAAATAGAGAAGTCTGGTCACACTAATTACCACATAATCAGTTTATTTGGATATGTCATAAATGATAAACTGCATTACGTTCAGTGTTGGGGAGTAACAGATTACATGTACCAGAGTTACGTAATACAAATTATGAGTAACTGTATTCAGTTACAGTTACTGTTTCAATGAGTGGTAATTGGATTACAGTTACTTTGTTCAAATAAATGGATTACATGGCGGTATTTTCATGTTCTCACATTTTGGGTTATATTCTTTTTTTTTTTTTTTTAGTAATTCCACTCAGTGCCGGACACTAAACTAAATCAGGATTGAACCAGGACTGAACCCAGGTCTAAACTAGATCTAAACCAGGTCTTTAACAGGACTAAACTAGGTCTAAACCAGGTCTTTACCAGGACTAAACCAGGTCTAAACCAGGGCTAAAACCAGGACTAAACCAGAACTAAACCAGGTCTAAACCAGGGCTAAAACAGGACTAAAACAGGATTTAACAGGACTAAATCATGCCGCGCGGACTGTGTTTCCTCTTCTTCTATCAATAATATTTTTAATTTGGTTCAGTAAAGTCTGGGCTTTTTATTTTCTTTTATCAGACAAAACGTCTTATGTGAAGATATCCGAGTATTTGCTTCTCTACAGAAAATCAAGTAATCCAAAGTATTTAGATTACGTTACTCACTTTAACTAATTTAATGGATTACATTACAAACTACATTTTGGGGTATGTAATCTGTAATCTGTAGTTGAATACATTTTAAAAGTAACCTTCCCAACACTGTTTATGTTCCAACAGTAATCAACAGATACATTAAGTGCAATGATTTTACGTTACTAATCACTGACGGCATGTAACTTCCACCAGCGTCCCCACCCCCCGCAGCTCATACCCCGGCTCCTGTGTCAGCACATATCAGGTTGGCCTCCGAGCTCGAGCGACGAGTGCTAATGTGA